AAAATTTGCTGTAACAAAAGCAAAAAAAACTTTCTTATTATTCATTTATAAATTTGAGACAATAAATAAATAGGAAATTAGCTAAATTAAAGCACTTGTAAATTTCCTTTGTCTAACTTTAGTTGATGTCTGAGGAGCAAGATTAACTGAACTGCCCCATGCAAAACTGGTATGTAACTCTGTTTGAATTCAACTAAGGTTGTACTAAAATTTAAATTTGAATTCAAGAAGCGACAAGCGTTAGTATTCCTTTCTTAAAGCTACTAATTTCTAAAAAAGAAGAAACTGTTTCAGTGTACTGCATTGGACAATCAGAAAGGGAAAAATCAAAAGACTGCAATACATTGAAATTTCAAAGCCAGACCGACAAAAACAGACCCAAATTTAATGACTTTTACTATTTTTTTATTATTAATAACCTTGTTTTATTGCTTATCATTTTACGTCAATACCGTACTTACAACAACATTCCATAGACACTAAAGAACAGCAAAAAAATTGATTAAATAAACATTGTCATGAGTCAAATGAAAGAATATTTCTATGAATATCACGTGTTTTCAAAAAACATATTTTATTGTGAAAAAGAAAAAACTAATAACAAGATTAAAAAACTTAAAAAAAAGTTTTTATTCATTAATTTACAAAGATAACAGTTAATATTGTTAAAGAAAAAAGGGAAAAAAGGGTATCTGTCTAAATTTTTGATTATAGCAATAACATTTTATTTCGTTTGAAAAATTTACTGCTATTTAGTAAAGAAAGCGTAGTAAAGTTGAATTTTTAGTTATATGATATATTTTGAAGCAGAAATAAAAAAAAATTACCTGGCAGTAAATGAAAAATATGTAAGTGAACCGTGTCCTTGCTGTGATATACCACAACCGTGAGACAAAAATGCTGGAACATTTTTGGGCATTCACTATATATACCATTTGAAAATTCTTTTAACTCTCATAATTTTTTAAAACAGCGTGAGTAAAGTGCAAAAATTTCCGCTTTAAAACTATAAAATTCCGATGAAGAGCATACATATAAAAAAATTTCAAACAATCATTAGAAATTTTACTGTTTAGCAGTCAATCATCTCAGCCAAATTTTGGCGTTTTCTGTAAACCTTTTACAAGAAAAGTTGAAAAATGGCTTTTTTTTTTCAAAGAAATACAATCAGTACGACTGAAATAAATGTAAAATAATTTATTAATATGCAAATGCATCAACTACTGTTCTGTTCTTCAGGTTTTTCACTAATTCGCTTTTCAAACTTTAAAATTTATTTTTTGATTTCGGCTACCTAGATATAGTTTAAAGCAATATCAATAAACTGTAAATGGAACAGATAAAGCCAAAAAAGTCATTTAGCAGATAACGTTTATAATCCAATGTTACAAGCAATTCTATAAAATGATTCCAGTTTATCCTAATAAAGCTTTTGCATTTTAAATAAATTACTGAAAAAAAAGTTCAACATTGCCCACAATTACAATATGTTCCCCTTTTATTCTATAATACAGTTACTTTTGTGAAATATCTCACGAAACTAAGACTTACGCAACAATTCTGAATATAACATCTCGTAAATGTGCAATTGGAGAAAAAATAAGGAAATTTGAGGAGTGTAAAAACAAATTTCGGTTATACAAGCCTGTACCAGACCAGAAATCTAACAATGATCACTTGATTCCGGTGTATTTCAGTGGAACTCAGCAATCCAGCTGCATTTGTACTTGTAGTAAAGGTCTAAAAAGTCTACGAAACAGAGACTTATACTAGTGCCAATAAAAGTACCATACCTATCCACCAATCATAATGCTGTCAGAATCCTTGCGCTGACAACACCGGTGATCGACACACGAAATTTAATTTCTGAGCTTTTCAGAAAATTTTTCCACACGACAATTTGTTCACTTTTACACGGTTTATTTGAGATAATTTTTATTTTTTTCCAAAAATATATAAATATGTTTTTGCAAGCCCGCTGTTTTGATCACGGTAGCATTTTTTTACAGTTAAATCTAAAGACAGGAGTTGGTTATCAAAGGTACCACTTAAAAAAATTGTAGAAGGAGCTGCAGAAGCCTATGTGGCCGCCAAATGTATGTCGTACATAAATACCCAAAAACTATAAAAGTACCAAACAAATATTTAAATTAAGAAAAAAAAAGAAATTTTGGAGCAACCGTGCATTATGAATAGCAAAAATATGCTTTGAAAAATAGTGTAAAATTTATTTAATTTCCCAAGAAGCCCTCATTCCACAAAACGTCCAAAAATAAGTGTTAACTTAAGAGCCAGTAGCATAGTAACGTTATGGAACCTCACAAGACGCTGAGATGAAACAGCAACATAGCTTCTGACTTTGTTTTAGTGACATGGCAGAGCTAATTTGCAGTTACAGCTGAACTGTTTCTCTAGAGTCCCGCAGTTTCCGTAGTATCAATTTGCAATTTCTTAATTTAATTAATGCTATCATACTGCTCTACAACAGCTCAGTTCCCTTTGTCAAATAGTAAACGAAGAACGTACTTGTCCAAAAAGTTAAAGGACTGATAAACAACCTTAGTTGGTGCTGTCAAGAAAATGTATTATATCAAATTCAGAAGCGAGATGAAGGAAACGTTGCTTTCTTAAGTACTGACATATTCTGCCAGATCCAAATGAACACTTACCTGACCAATCTCAAACCTCGCTTTAATTCACATTCTTCGCTTAACCACTCTAGCTCTAACTCAGAACCCTCGCTCTAAAAAAAAAATTTTGTTTTCCTACTTCTCTAAAAGTGAAATCAAGTCTTCCAATTTCACAGCTGCAGTAAACCACTTTTGAAAGCATTAACTAAAGAATCATTTTTTTTACTATGACAATATCAACACCAAATGTGCTCTGTATCCTTGACGGTATCCTTGCATCCATAACCAAAAGCTCAAGTAACAGCTGAACGTCTTGTCATATCAGCAATTCTTTAATGATTTAAAAGTACGGTCATTATTGTAGAGTAGTATAAGATGAATTTACTTTGTTACATCTGATAACGAAAAAAGAATTACTGATCAATTTTCCGTAATACTCCAAAGTTGTTTCCCTTCCAAAGAAAAATAATATTTACCACCAAGTAACGAGCAAAGAAGTCTACGACGGGTACGCAGTCCTTTGCAAACGTAAGAACCGAGCTTGCACGAGTTTCATAACTGCAGAGTCGCAAAAACCGTTTTGGAGTCTTTCATCACTAATTTAAAAAAGGTGGGGAAGACTTGCTTGCCTTTAGCCTATAAACGTACTTTTGTAGATGTGACTACGTAATTTTAACCCTTTGCCTCCTGCCTTTACCTTCAAGAATACTTTGTACAGGGAAGGAAATTCGATTCACGATTTGGCCGACATGACACGGTCGTTTTTTTGACTGCAACGAGAAATAAACCACTTTTGCTCAGATTGAAAAGCTAAACCCCCTTTGCTTTTTGCAAGCAATCACTACTCTGCAAGCAGTCTGACAAGCCAAAATCAACAAAGTTTTATCCAGCATTCTACCAAGAAGAACCAGAAAACCAAACAGTGGTAATCTCAAGTAACTAAACAAAGCTTCTAAGAGGTCAAGGGGAGTATTGTGACCCTAGACGTCTGACATAAAACAAGGACAGAAACGAATATTGCAGTTATGAAACCACTATCAGTTCAGTTGAAGCTGGCCTGTCAAAACTTGTTCAAACTTTATTCCATTCCTTCTATACAAATATTTCAAGGTCATAATACTGCTTGAAAATCCTAAACCCATAGTGGAAAAAAACATGATTTTCATTTGGCGATATGACTCCAGGAAACGGTTACCGCTTTACCTGTGCCCAAGTTCACCATCTTGGATGCAGTGAATTTTAAAACATTATTCGCACCACTTACAGCAGTCACTGCTATGTCCTTACCATTGATTTTTACGGAACTTCCACTCATTGTGTATTTGTAACCAACCAACTCAACAGTCTCCAAATACGGCACCCACAAGTCACTCTGAAAAAAACCAGTAATAAAGAAAAGAAACAGATATTTTTTTCAAGATGCCCAAAATTACTGCATTCTGTCATACCAAATTTAGCACACCAAATAAACTTACTCCTGTCCTAGCTGGAGTAATTGTTAAAGTCGCTTCTGTCGAAGTAACCGAAAACAGAAACTCCCATAGATAGTAATTGTAACTGTCAAAGTTATTCACAATAGATTCACCATCATCAAAGTAAAGTTTCCCAGTCGACTTCTTCGGAGCGCCAGTTTTCAAATCGTAATCTGAAAAATAAATAAAATCACTGCAAAAAAATCACAAATCATGAAAGTTATATTTTAACAATTAAGGAAAAAAACAATAGAAGAAGCTTAAGTTTACCCACTGCAATAAGCAACTCAAACGGATTCTTGCGAGAAGCCGTTGTTGTTGTATTTGGCTGCTGACGAGGAATAATAACACCACCTATAAGCACATCACAAGATTAGAAGATTAGTTGCATCGCAAAATCAATTTTAAGAAGTAGAAATAAATATAAAGATATTAAAAACGAAGCAAAAATTAAGAGAAAAGGTACGACAGTATTCGCATAAAACAAACCTCTTGCAAGAACAGGTATCAGTTCTGTTGTTTTTGCGCTAAAACGATTATTACCAGGCCTGTAGATAGCACCAAATTCTTCTTCTCGCATTGAATACCACTGAGCTTCTGGCAAATAGCCGGTCACAATCGAAACACCCTGAAAAATAAATTCATTGATGAGAAGAACAGCGAGTGTTTACAAGCATTTATAATGCTGTCCGACAAAAAAAGTTCAAAAAAACGGTTGCAGATAAAAAATAAAACCTTTTCAAGGACTGGAATAATCATCATTCCAGAACCCCACATAAACTGGTGTCCAAGATCAAACGTCCCCGGGTCTCTAGGAAACTCAAAGAATAATGGTCTGATTACAGTGCCACCAAGTCGAGAAGCTTCGAAATGCAAGCTAGAATTTAACAGTGCATCAGCAAAAATAAAAAACAAGTAAAAATATTGACACAAAATACCTGTACAAATACGGAAGATATTTGTATCTGAACAGAAGAGCGGTGCGAGATGCAGCGGCGACACTTTCCCACATTCCGGGATCCTGTGCAGCAGCGCCTTTTGCATTATGGTTCCTAAGATAACTTGTTGAAAAACATAATTACTATTGTTGCGGCGCTTAACAAAGTCAAAGAAATAAATGAATGAAGTATCACCTTGAAAACGAATGGAAGGCCCCCATTTGCTGCCAACGCAAACAAAGTTCTTCTGTCGTATTACCAATGAAACCACATATGTCAGAACCAACATAAGGTATTCCAAAAATGTTGAACTCCTGAGCTCCAATTACGGAAGTTTGCAAATCTTCCCACCTAGCAGTGTTATCTCCTAACCAGTGACCAGCATAATGGCCAGTCGATGGAAATGTTGACCTAAAAAGCACTTGAAGAAACTAGAACAAAACAATAAAACACGAAATATCTTCTCAACATATCTTTTAAAAGAGACAGGAAAAAATTCTTTAGCTAAATAACTAAAAAAATTCAAACGTGACATTTAATCGACTAGCCCATACTCAGCAAAATTCGAACTTTCAACTTTTACTATGAGAATATTATAGCCTGGCTGAGATTCTTCTGACCTGGAAATGATAGCACCCCTTTTACCAGTAGACACGTAAAGAGCAGACTGCGTTGCAATCGTTTCAGAAAGACCGTATAGATTTTTGGTGTTATAGAAGCGATGCTCACCTCCAGCGGTCAATGCTGACATGCACAAAGTGTTGGTCGAAAGGTACTAGGATGAAAAAGTAACAAAGTAAGACATAGAAGAAGATACTTTTTAGGCACCCCAAAACCGCATCACTTCAAAAAAATCGACTTTTATAAAGCTATAACACTAACTGAGTTTTCGCCAAAAAGATAAACGGCTTGAGTCTGGAAGGGAGGAACGTCGTATGCAGAATCTTTACCGGTCAAAAAACAAAAAAGCGGTTTTGTATTAGGATGGTCGCTATCATCAAAATACCAGGGGTGCTCCTGGTTAGTACCAAAGCTTGAGGGTTCGTTCATATCGATCCAAATCCCATCAAAAGGCACCTAACAGTCAAAATTTTAGATTGCCAGTTACTTAATGACAACAATTTGAACAATTAAAACCACCTTAACGTAACTATTTTGTATCAGAGTAAAGAATCATGCAAGATACCAAATCCTCCTACTCGTACTTAAAAAACTGCTAAAACATGCCTGGTCATGGAAAAGCTTAAACTCGTTTATCCACCATGCAAGAGTTCTGTTTG